TAAATGTTTGCTCAAAGTGCATCTGGTTTTGCAGTTACCACTTCCAGTATGGCCTTTGTTGGTAGCAAGGCTTCGATGTGCACTGCATATACATCCAGCTGTCCCAAGATACTGTTGTTGAAAGGAAAATACAGGTTGCAGCAGTTCTCCTGGGTGTAGCCTCTGCAAACTAGTCTGGCTAGGGTGGCTGAATATAAGTCATTATGAAACAATAGACAGTTGTTATCACCTCAGAAGGAATCCCCCAGGTCTGTGCAAAACAGAAGTTACCAAGGTGACTGGAATGGGTGTGAGGTGATGGGAAGGAGATTTGGGTTTTTGACCAAGGTGTACTGGGAAGAAGAAAGAGGAACAGAGGAGTCCTCCATGAGCTGCTGGAGAGGCCAGAACTCCATGGCGGGGCTGGAGGAACAGAACCATCTTGGCTGCTGGTTGGAGAGGCCAAGCCAAGCATGGCTGGTTGCTCTAGATTCAAGCTAGCCGAAGCCATGAGAGAAACAAGAAGAGACCCTTTGGACATGACAACGCTGTAAGATTTGCTACTCCTTCCACCTACACACTCAGGTGTATATATGCAAATAAACTATATATCTTAAAGTCACTACTGTCTCCACCGTGTCTTGACTCTCAGCAGAAACGCAACACTGGGATGAGTGCCTCCAACCCCCTGGAATCTTGCTACCGGCCAGCCGAGGTTGGGGGTTGGCATGCCACATTGGTAACAATACAGTGGTACCTTGGTTCTCAAACGCCTTGGTACTCAGACAACTTGGAATCCAAATGCTGCAAACCCGGAAGTAAGTGTTCCGGTTTGCGAACTTTTTTTGGAAGCTGAACATGCTCCGTTTTGAGTGCCACACTTTCGTTTTGAGTGTTACGCTGAGGTCTGTCTGTTTTTGCCATTTATTTTGCGTTTTTGTTTTTGCTGCTTTTTTGTTTTGTTTTTGTGACTCTGTGGAACCCAGGTCAGCTACTGATTGACTGATTGTGTGACCGCAACACATTGTTTATTGCTTTGATTTTATGGATCAATGGTCTTGTTAGATAGTAAAATTCATGTTCAATTGCTGTTTTAGGGGTTGTTTTTAAAAGTCTGAAACGGATTAATCCATTTTACATTACTTTCTATGAGAAAGCGCGCCTTGGTTTTGGAACTTTGGTTTTGGAATGGACTTCCAGAATGGATTAAGTTTGAAAACCAAGGTATCACTGTGTTAATTGCTGTGATGATGTGTTCCCTACTGTTGCTGTCTATAATTTGATATTGCCCTGACATAACTCTGCCTGATGTTTTCCTCCAATGACCTTCCTTCTCCCAGCATTAATGCTGACATGGTCTAGGTGGGGCCTTTTCTGTCTACTGCTTCTTCATCGTCTGCAGCTTCCTGGCCTGCAGCGGCCCTGTATTATCTTGAGGCACGTTCTTTTGGCACAGTTCCTGGTGCTCAGTCCTTGATGCCCAGCTATGCAGGCCCATCTTCGTAAAGGAAATATTTTCAGAACATTCATTACAGGAGGAACGATGAAGCGTAGGTAGCCCATTTCCCCAGATCAGTCCCTCTCTTCTCACCTCCCGCTTCTCTGGTTTTCCTTCCATGGTAAACTCTTTAGGGAAGTACTTTCAAAAAGAAAGAAAGATTGGCTTTGAAGAACAAGATTCTGCTTCTCACTGGCCTTTCAGCACCACCATGCTGTTAACTATTTGCCAGTAACATACTTTCTTTTAACAAGTAAATAAAGGGCCGTGTGAACTCCCCTCTGGGGCCACGTGCTATGGAGACCCAACTAGGAAGATCAAGATTGCTGACATTGAGAAGGCAAGAGCCCTTTAAACCCATTGAAATGTGTGTAGTCTAAATACAAGGGAGCAGGATCGTATGTGCCACCCCTCTCCTGATCACCATGTGTTGATCAGTTTTGCATATTCCATATTATTGCCTTCTGTGATTGGATGTTGCCCTGATACAACCCTGCCCAATATTTGCCTCCTATTACCTTCCTTCTCCTATGCATAAGAAGCTAGGTTCTTTTCTGACATAATCTTCATTCTCGATTATTTTCCTGTTTTCTATTTTCCTGTCCGCGGGAATTCACAAGGTCCCAGGTAGTCTCCCATCCAGGCATTGGCCAAACCCCAACTGGCTTAGCTTCAGCAATGTGGCTGCATCACATGCCCTCAGATTATGTCCTTGGGACATTTGAAAGAGGACAGGGAAGCCACTCTTGCATTGGGAAGATGGGGATGGTATCACACAGGCATCTCTGGGATTTAGGGCTTGGATGAGCACCTCCCTCTTTAAAGCCTTCATGCAGACATCCTAGGATGTGTCTTAGAAAGGAGGCTGGAGAATAGGAAATGTGATCATTTTATTAATGTGGCACTAGCATGATAATATCATTTCTAAGTGTACTAGGGGCAGAGAGATGTATCTGTATATACGAAAAAGACAAGGAGTTGCTATTGTAGCCACCAGGGAAGATCAATTGTATAAGCACGGCCCTTTGGGTAGAAATATGCTGGCAAAAGTCAGAAGAAGCAGGGATACTGATGGGTACAAGGGACAAGGGACATTGGCAGTGGGGCAAAGGATTGTTCGTCAAACTGATATTCATTGTCAGGCACAATCACCAGAACTTTTTGGAGCTGCTGCTCACCAGCAGCTGATTCTGCTTCAGTCATGCCTGGACTCTAGCCTGAAACTAGAAGATGTTTGGGATTTTAGATTGTGCATCTCCACCAAGCTATGTCCACAGGAGGGACCTCCAACATGGCCATCAGACCTGTAAAAAGACCCTTGGACATCAGTAATCTAGAGCAGGTCACAACGTTTTGGTCTGGCTTCCTCTTTTGTCTGAATGTCAAGGGAACTCAGCTTGCTGCTGTCCCTTGCCACGTCTGTGGTATGGAATGGTTTTATTTATTTATTTTAGAGCATTTGCTCAGTTTCATCCCAAGATGCCTCCAGACTGTCAGTGGGAGGGATTTAAGCACATCCTGGAGCTTCAGGTTGGTGCAATTAACGCGGATTAAAGCCCTCTGTGAGCCTAGTGCAACAAGGGACTTTTTGCAGTTTGGAAAGTGATGAGGAAATATATTGAAATGGAAGGATGAACAAAGGATTGACTCAAAGGCATATGAACACCCCACAAGAAGATCAGGATGAATGCAGAATGATTGCTCATTGTGGCATAACCTCCCCACAAACAGAATAAAGGCTCAACTCCAGACATGGTATAACTGCCATGGAAGCTTTGTGTAAGCAAATCAAAATGAATACGGAATGAATTGGTCGTCTGGAGGTGCCTTTATTTCTGTGTCTACTTTTTCAGCCTAGCCTTGCCTTTCACCCTAGGGCTCATTCATTCCCACTGATTGTGTGGGGGAAAGGGTCTGGCAAACTGAGAATGTGTTTGTGAATGATCCTGGCAAAGAGGAGGTGGGGAGCCTTCTTTTACCAAACGTGTGTGAGCTCACATTAACGACATGGAGCCTGTTATCACTGCAGAGTGCAAGGCTCTTGCGAACTACAAGCTTGTGCCCTGAGAGAAGACACTTGCTGAACTGAGAAAGGCAAGGAGCAATGCCCAGTGGATTGCCAGACAATGTGCCAATGATTACTGGCTAATGCCGCATCAGAGCATTCAACTTGCAGCTGACACTCTGAGGAAGCTCTTTTTTGCCTAAGCCTGGGTAGAATTTGACCTCACCTTCAGCCTGACAAAGACCAACATATTGGATCAGGATGCTGCCAGCACTACATGCACAATAATAATAATAATAATAATAATAATAATAATAATTTATTTATACCCCGTCCATCTGGCTGGGTTTCCCCAGCCACTCTGGGCAGCTTCCAACAGAATATTAAAATACAATGGTCTATTAAACATCAAAAGCTTCCCTAAACAGGGCTGCCTTCAGATGTCTTCTAACAGTCTGGTAGTTGTTCTCTTTGACATCTGGTGGGAGGGCATTCCACAGGGTGGGCGCCACTACCGAGAAGGCCCTCTGCCTGGTTCCCTGTAACTTGGCTTCTCGCAGTGAGGGAACCGCCAGAAGGCCCTCAGCACTGGACCTCATGGGGGTGGAGACTCTCCTTCAGGTATACTGGACTGAGGCCATTTAGGGCTTTAAAGGTCAGCACCAACACTTTGAATTGTGCTCAGAAACGTACTGGGAGCCAATGTAGGTCTTTCAAGACTGGTGTTATGTGGTCTCGGCGGCCGCTCCCAGTCACCAGTCTAACTGCCGCATTCAGGATTAGCTGTAGTTTCCGGGTCACCTTCAAAGGTAGCATTGCAGTAGTCCAAGCGTGAGATAACTCACCACTCTGGTGAGACAGTCTGCGGGCAGGTAGGGTCTCAGCCTGCGTACCATTGGTGACCACACGCTTGAGATGGTAGATGATATTGAGCATGCTGCTTTGTGGAAGTGAGCCATGGGCAACTTACACCAGCCAGGAACAATGCCTCAATGCCTTCCATATGCACTGCATCAGGAAGATTTTGGTCATCAGGATAGAGTCTCAAGCAAAGATGTGCTCTTCCAAGCCCACATTCCCAGCATGTTCACACTTCTGTGTCAGCAGTGTCTATGCTGGCTGGGTCATGTACAGAGAATGGAAGATGGCAGGATCCCCAAGGATGAGCTCAATGGGGAGCTTGCTTCAGGCACTAGGCCTGCTGGCAGACCAGCTCTGTTACAAAGATGTCTGCAAACATGACATGAAAGCTGGCAACAATAACCTCGCCATGCAGGAATCCCTTGCAGACAACCGCAGTGCCTGGAGACAAACAGTCAGGCCGTGTATGCACAGCAATGACCAGAGGAGAAATGACCGCTGGGAGGAGTGCAGAGAGAAGAAACGCCATGATGTATCTCCATTAGCAAAACCTGATACCTTCATCTGCAGCTCCAGCTGCAATAAAACATGTCTCTCCTATATTGGTCTCTACAGCCACAGCAGGTGCTGTAACTAGCCAATGGTTTGATTTTATCCCCGATGGCACACTCTTCCTTTGTCTCTCGAGACAGACGGATGCCAGCAACAGTGTGTGTGTGTGTGTGTGTGTGTGTGTGTGTGTGAGAGAGAGAGAGAGAGAGAGAGAGAGAGAGAGAAATGGCAGCTTCCCCACGCAGAATCTGGAAGACATTCACCAGAGCAGTTGCTCTCACATATTCTGTCACCACCGCAGATGGGCTCTGCTCACACGAGAGAGAAAGTATATCATTAGCACGGCTGAGTTTATCAGGGAAAGAGGGCCTTCAGCTCTTGTGAGCGGGTCATAGGAAAGACATGCACCAGACCAGACAATGTGGCCAGCCCACACGCACTCCAGTCACTTTGTCTGGACATTCAACATTCAACAAGGTCGGGTGCCTCTCTGCCTGTCAGACTGTGAAAGGCAACAGTGGGAACTGCTTGCACATCAGCATTTGATAGAAATTAAGCCATATGACTACCAATGTCAGGGTATTCCTTTTTCTTAGCTCTCAGGCAAAACCTGAGGGGCAGATTTTCAGGAGGCCTAATGTTAGAAGCACTGTATCAAAAGCAGTCAATTTTCATCTGAACAGTGAATCAAAGGTCATGCCCTGGAAACAGAGGTATTGCTAGCCTAGAATGCCCAAGGCTGTGTGCATACCATGTGTTCAAAGCACATATTCTCTCTCTATAAGAATTCTGGGAACTGTAGTAGACCCCTCACAGAATTATAGTTCCCAGCACTTTTAACAAACTGTTGTTTCCAGGATTCTTGGAGTGAGCTTTGCATGTGCTTTCAATGTCTGGTGTGTATGCAGCCCTGAGTCTTTTGCACTTGGCCCTGAATCTCCCACTCCTTTCCCCTTTTTAAACTTAAAAAATTCTTAATTCTTAAAAAAAGCTTAAGAATGCCTTAGACTCCACCCACCATCATGTCTGCCCAGAAGAGGACAACACAGGAAGCTGCCTTACCCCAAGTCAGACCAATGGACCATGTAGCTTTAGATTGTCCACTCTGACAGGTAGTGACTCTTCAGGGTTTCTGGCAGGGTATGTTCCAAGCTCTACTTATTTATATGCCGCTTTTTGGCCAAAAAGGCCCCAAGAGAGCCAGTGTGGTGTAGTGGTTAAGAGCGGTAGTCTTGCAATCTGGGGGACCGGGTTCGCGTCTCTGCTCCTCCACATGCAGCTGTTGGGTGACCTTGGGCCATCACACTTCTTTGAAGTCTCTCAGCCCCACTCACCTCACAGAGTGTTTGTTGTGGGGGAGGAAGGGAAAGGAGATTGTTAGCCGCTTTGAGACTCCTTAAAGGGAGTGAAAGGCGGGATATCAAATCCAAACTCTTCTTCTTCCAAGGTGGTTCACAAAGAATAACCAGGGACCTTCTGCATGCAGATGCTCTTCCAGTGATCTATGGCCTCTCCCTTAGTAAATTTGTGTTATGCTGAGCCTGTGCCCCCAATCATTAAAATACCTAGAAATGCCTTGCTTGTAAATCTCGCAGCTCCCATTTCAGTGATGTGGATGGATCTTGAGGAAGCTGATTTTCACCTACTAATTGCCAGACAACTAGGGTTGCCATATTTCAAAAAGTGAAAATCCGAACACAGTCCGGGCTGCTGCTGCTGCTGCTGCTGCTGCTGCTGCTGCTGCTGCTGCTTCTTCTTCTTCTTCTTCTTCTTCTTCTTCTTCTTCTTCTTTTTGGGGGGGCAAATTCTCCAGAAATAAAAGAAGTTTTTACCATTTTGGGGGGAAATCTAAAAAATAAAATAAAAAATCAACACTTAACATATGTGCTACCAGATATTTTAGCCGCTTTCCCAAAATTCTGCCCAGACACTATTTTTCAACAGACAAATCCTGTCTATGTCTGGGAAATTCCAGACCTAGAAAGACAACCCCTTTCTAAAGCGTTAGTGTGGGTACCAAATAACTCTGGAGCTGTGCTCAGGAACTCTCAAGGGATTCGTTACCTGGAGTGGCATCTGTACATGTCCCTGGCCTTAATTCTTGATTAGAAGCTCCTTGATATTTTAAGTTCCCAAAGACAGGGATGGGGCACTGTGCTGCTACGTTAGACTTCTTAAAAAAGAGACTGACAAATATCTCCTCTGGCCTTCAGAACCCTTACTTCTGAGCAGAGTTAAACCAGCTTAGGCACAAGTGGACTGTAGTTCCTGCAGACAAGGGATGGCCTCCTGTTGACCCTGGTTTCACAGCGACACTGAAGTTGTGAAAGCTGGCCCAGTTGTTCGATGCTTGTTCTGCTACAGACCCTGTGTGTGACCTTGAGAAAAATGACTCAGTCTCACAGGGTTTGAGGTTCTGGCACTGGATAACACCTCTGCATTGCTGAAGTCTTGAGAGGATATTCACATGCTACTCAGATCACAGTTATCCTAAAAGTATTAGTAGTATTATCAGTATTAGTAGATATTATGTGGGCTGTAATCCTATGATTATTTGCTTAATTCAGTATATTGCAGCCTTATATGGCATCATCAATGTACTGACACCTTTACTGCAAAGCATTCAAGCAAAGATGGGTCCCTGCCCCAGGGAGCTTACAATAAAAAGTCTGGCAGGACATAGCCGCATCCAATAATAAATTTAGGCTAAGTCTACATAACTCTGAATAGGCTTTCAGAAAGAAAGCAGCTTAGTAATTCTATCAACCACTATCAAAAATTACAGCAAAATTCTATACAGATTGAGGGCAAAAAGGAGAGCATGAATTTTCCGCTTCCCCAGAGATCACTTTTCATTCATGGATTTCCAAAGGTGATAAGAGCAGCAAAGGGGGACTCAGGACAGGATGGTGTTGAAGGCAAGTTTAGAGAAACAGAGGTGGTTGGTGCCCATTAGGATTGGCAGGGAGCCCACCAGCAGGCAGAGCCAGAGCCAATGAGGGGCAGAGAGCCAACTCACACCAGTTATGTTCCCCATCCTCCTGCCTGCTGAGTTCTACAAGAGGCAACTCTGAGACTAAGGGGGATGAAGAGGAAGCTGAAAGGAGGTGCCATTCTCAAGAATTGTTGTAAGGAAGGAGGTAGGCAAGTGGGGGCTGGCCGTGGGCAGACTGAGGTGAGGGTGCCCCATTTGGCCTAATGAGCCAGCTTCCGCTGTTGTAGGAATGTTCTCCTTCTCAGACAGAAATTATGGTTTAAAAATTGTAAGGGCACAGTGCCTCTAAGCATGTGAAGAGTGCCTCCTGAAGAGCACAATCATGTGTCTTATTTAATATATACACATTATGGGAAGTAGGGCCAAACATTTTTGTTGTTATTTCCTGACCCTACATCCTATATTCTGACAATTGACCAAGAGGATGGCATTCTGGCTGGGCTGGTAAGATTCTGGCAGGTGGGCATCAGTAACTCTTGAGCAGAGAGGATTCCTTAATAGTCTTATGAGTTTGTGGTGTGCCAGGACTCCCTTTTTAATTTCTGGACCCCCGCTTCTAATTCCTGAATCAGACACTGGATTTAGCATGTTAAAATACAGACCAGGAGTCAGCCTGGCAATAGCCTACTAAATATGAGTCCTTAGTGGGACAAAGGGACAGGCTCTGTGCCATAGGGCAAATGGGAGGGGGCCCTCCCTCACCTCCCTTAGTAAGAAAGACTAAAGCCTTTGGAGTAGTTGTTAGAGTTGGAAGGAGAGAAGTTGGGGTTGATGCGGGCTGGAGGAAAAATAGTTGCACACTGTTAAATGCGGCAAGCTGAGATGAGGGACTGAGGGCCATGGCTGATTTCTGCTGGCATCCAAGATGGTGGCCATTGGAGAAGCAATAACCTTTTGGAGTGTGATGTTGGGAGCCCTTCTACCATAGGTTCAGGTTGTATATATGTGTAAATAAACCATATCTCACAAAGACACCACAGTCTCTGCTGTGCCTCATTTCCAAATGAATCCCAGGTAAGCACATGGATCCCTGGAAGCTTGCACCGCTTGGAGATTGGGATGGCTTGTAACAATATCAATAAGCTTAGAGGATGAGCCTCCCCTCTCCCCAAACTTGGCCTTCAGCATGATTAACCTTTACCAAGGGAGATGCTAGTCTTAATCAAAACTTAATCAAGAGAAAGACTCCCTGTGGTGAGAGGCTTCGTGCCAGGCCTGCCTAACAATATGAGGCCCACGCAGGGTATCCTTCTTGCAATGGTTTCTAACCTGCTGTAGGATGGTTTCATCATCAGAACAAAAGAAGCCGCTTCCTGATGCAACAGGTGGGAGAAGCCTGTGGTGATTGCGTTTGTGAGTAGCTGTGGCAGGGAAGGGCTCCCTGGACAGCTTTACTCCCTTAAGGGGAATCCTGAGCACTGCTGCCACATCCCTTCCATCCCCAAAGAAAGCCTAGCTTGTGAATGACTCCCTTTCCCTCTTACTGAATTGCTAGCAGCATTCGGGTCATTAGACACACAGCAATATCTACCCATCCCTGCCCATGGCCAGGGACGGGCTTGACATCTAGGTCGCTTTTCCTTCTCTCTGTCCAGTCACTGTGAGATGCACACCTCCAGGGTGGGGAAAAGAAAGGAGAGAGAGGGGGGGGGGACTCGCTGTGTGTGTTTGTAAAGCACTGTTATAACACTGCCCTGTATCTAGGAAACCAGGCTGGGGAATAATCTTGTTTTGGTCCTGAGAGCCATTGCTCAGCAAGAGTCATTCTCAGCTAGATCACCTGCATCTCATACAGGTGTCTGTAGCATGCTGAGCATCCAGTTCCCCACTTGTGGGACAGAGCACTGGTTAGTGGGCCATGTGACTCCAGGACAAGCTGTACTGTTTTGGTACCGCACAGACATCCCAGAACTGGGACATGCTTCAGCGGCGTAACAATAGCACAGCTGTCACATGCACGTAGATGCACTCCTCCCTCTCCCTCCCTCTTTCTCTCTCTCCCCCCCCCACTCTCTCTCCCTCTCCCTCCCTCCCTCTCTCCCTCTCGTTCATAGCCTGAGCCCTGAGACTTCTTTCCCAGATCACTCACCAGGGAACCCACTGCATTTGTGAAATTTCTGTTCAGGGAAGCAGTCAAGAAGGAGGATTGGTAGCCTGGCAGCAAACCCTGGGATGTCGTTTTGCACATAATCAGCTCTCTCTTGGCTGGCAAAGGCTGTTCTCGTTCCATAGGATCAGATCAGGACAGCAGAACGGGAGCGCGAGGCAGGTGCAAAGTGTGCCTTGGAGACGTCACAACCCAATGCCAGCAGCATCTGTACCAGATCACAATGTAACTGACTGCAGCGTGACTATAAAGTGTTGATAGTTACTCTCCAGTTTCAGGACATGGCACCGGTCCGCTTCCTCTCCCAGGCTCACATTCAGCAGCAGGTCAAGCGCAAAATGCCCTTTGCCATTCATTCTGTGGCATTTCCTCTTATGGGAACCTAGAGCTGCACCACTTCATACTTGAAAATAGCAAAAAGGAGCAGAGGGATGGAACAGCCACCCAGAGTGGCTCATTGTGGGGGTGTGGGGGTGTGTGATGGTTTTCTCCCCCTTTTTTTTTCTTTTCTTTTTTGAGGGAGGGTGGGAAGAGAACCCTGGTGTTACTTTGGATTTCTGATCACTTGCAAACTTTTACTTTGAATCTCTTATTCATTGTGCAGCTAGAAACAAGACGATGGTTTCTTCAGACCCCCTTTCCATTGCACATTTATGATGATTTGTGCTCATGCGAGTATCAGGATGCTTATATGTGATTCTGCTTTCAATACTGTTTGCCCCTGTAAAAGCTTTGGGGCAGTCATACCGCCTGTAGCAGCTTCCCATGGAAAACCAGTCCCTGTGCATATGCCAAATGTTCTGGATATTTGCTTGCCCCGCTTTTGTTGCACTGCAGTGCCTCTCCAGATGACAATAATGCAGTGACATTGGGCAAGTATCACAGAACAACTAATAAAGTGGACTGGTGTGTGGACAGTCCAATATTAACCCGTCATTAATGCACTATTATGAGTCAACGGCATGTTGCAGAGTACACCAAGAAATAAAGAAGCAAACACCCATCTAGGGGTGAGAATCTGGAGGCAGCTGTGGGTTGGGAGAATAGCTATAGGGAGCTTAGCAAGAAGGCATGCCATTGTAGGAGGAATGCTTAATCTGAAATAAACACACAAATCCTTCTCCCCTTAGTCTGAGTCTTTCTCTATCTGGAGTGCCTGCTGTTTACCAACTTTGACATCCTATTATTTAATCTGAATGGCAGATTAAGTAACCTCCCAGGGTAACAAAATGTCTTGAATTGACCCTTCCTATCTAAGCATGAACTTTCCGACTTTTGAAAAAACACTGTAAAGCTTTCATTCAATTCAGACATACATCTAACAACCAGGGATTAACATGTGTGTATGTGCAGACATGTAGTCGCAGATACACATGTGTGTTTGTATTTCTTTGTGGTTTTTCTGGTAGTTTTTATTTCATGTTTTAAATGCTGCATACTTGAATGTTGATAGCAGCTATCCTAACACCTCGAGCTTATCCACACTTTGCTTGACCAGTACTTTGATCATATGTTGTACGGATTAAATCCTCTGGGCCCAAGAGCTTTTCTCATTGTTCCATAGCTGTGCCTTGTGAAAATCTGATCATACCTGCTGAACTGAA